AACCTTTATAGCATCATTAAGAGTGAGACATTCAAGCATTAGATGTCTCCTAATGTCATGCACATCACATTCTCTGTGTTTGCTTAGTATCATCCAGGAAGTACTTTTGGTCAAAAAAGTGAATCTGCAGCTAATCAAATTTTTAGAACTAACCATTACCATGAAGTTGCAATCAGCCAAATGGAAAGTCTACTCGAAAAATGACCCACATTCTTCAACAGATAAATATCTGCTTTAAAAGTGGGTGAGGGTGAACTTTGATACTTTGACAAGACATAAGAAGCATGTAAATAAAATTCAGTGTGATATTGTTTCACCCTGAATTAAATAAACAGCAAAAAGTAATTTTTGGACAATGGGGGAGAAATGAGCAATCACTGAGAATTAACTGACATTAACACACCATGTGTGATAATGGCATTGTTTTACAAAAAACTTGTTTGTTAACAGGATATTGATGAAAGTATGAGATTTGGAATTTCCATTAAAGTACTTCAGGAAAATGAAAGTGTGTGTGTGTGTGTGTGTGTGTGTGTGTGTGTGTGTGTAAAGGTTGAAGCTAAATGTTGGAAATGTTCTCTCTGCTTTTGTATTTACTTGAAAATCATCACGTTTAGAATTAAAGCTGATTTTTATTTCAAAATTAGCTTAGTATGAAATGTAGCAAAATATGAAAAACTCCATGGACTGTTAAAGAGAAGCACTGAAGTACATTCCTATATATCTACCATCCAGAGTGCCATGTGAATATTACCATTTCTGTAAGTCTCTTTTGGTCCTCTCCCACTCACCAATCGTGCTTCTCAGAGAATCACTATTTTGACTTTTGTGCTATTATCCTCTTGTTTTTCTTTTTTTTTTTTAAATATTCCTGTACCTATTCATACATAATATTCTGTTTAGTTTTTTTTCTAGTTTTGAACTTCATACAAATGAAATTATGCTTTATAAATTCCATTTACTTGTGTCTTTAACATTAATTTTAAAATGTTCCACACTGATACGTTTAACTGTAGTGGTTCATTTTTGCTGCTGCAGTGTTCGGTTGTGTGTACATTCTGCAACCTTTTTATCCAGCCTGGTAGGCATGTAAGTTATTTTCAGTATATCATTAATATTACTGTGCAATTCTTCTAGTGCATATATCAAAGAATTTCTTTAAGATGTATGCTGGTTCCAATATCTAGTTAAAATACATTGTGCTGCTCTAAATACGGGTAGGCATGCATCCCAGTAACATGATGATTTTAACTCTTTAGAGATGATACCTATGAGAAATACAAAACTATATAAATATACAAATAAAGAACAAAACAGAAGAGAGATAAATAGGAAGCACGGAGAACTTCAAATACTTCCTCAAATCACATATTTTGTTGTTTTAAAAATATTTTAATTTAATATACAAGCTAATTAATTTCATGTATTCATTTCAGGTTATTTTTGATTACTGAAAAAAAAGTTTTGTGTTCTCTGTTTACTTTTTGGTAACTATCTTTTTCTTGTTTTTGTGTTGTACTTTGAGTAACTACTTTGAAGACAATGATACACAGTATATTAACTAGGTTATTCTCTTATAATTTTGTCGTGAACTTTTATTTTATTTTATTTTTTCATAAGATGAAAACATATGCATACTGGGAACTGCATTGCAGTATACGTGCAAGTAAAACTGAGTAATGCCAACCTATTGTGTATTCTCAAGTGACGGTTGTACCAACAATGCTTCTTATGGTGAGCAGCATTTTCGTTGCTTCCACCTCTTCACTTACTCTTAATTTTCAAATTCTTGACATCTGCCAGTCTACTGGTAATTGTGAAGGGGCACCTTATTATTTTAATTTCCATTTGCCTTCTTGCTTTCTAATGTGTTAGCATCTTTCATATGTTTGCTGGACATCTGCATTTCCTCCTTTGTGAATTACACATTCATTCATTTATTCAAAGACTAATAAGTTCTCTTTCACTTATTGATGCCAAAGAATTCTTTATGTAGTCTGCATATTAACTTTTCTAGTTACTTGCATTACCAATAAACATTTTGGGGTTTGTTTTTTCACTCTTTATGGAATCTTTCTATGTGCTGTGGTGATTAATTTTAATGTGATTTAGTTCAACAACCTTGGGTTCTCACCTTGCCTACATCAAGCTAAAAAAGCTACTTCCCTCTATGTGTTCAAGTATCCTCATAGTTTTGCTTTTCCCATCTGGGTCTTTAAACCACCTGGATTTTCTCCTCACTTTTGGTATTTGTGAGGCAGGGCTTTGATTTCTTTTCTTTTTTCTTTTTTTTTTTTTTTCCATATGGATTCCCAATTGACCCAGAATCATTTGTTGAAAAGTTCATTCTTTCTCCACTGCTCTGTAATAACAACTTAGTCATAAATCAAGTGCCTGTACAAGTGTGTCTCTACTTTTGGGTTCTCTAAAACAGGCTGAGTTTTCATCACCCAGGGGGGAAAAAAAAGAACACAACAACAGCAAAAAGCCCAGTAAGTAGAACAGTCTAAGTTTGGTAATTTCCTGTGTCCCTTCAAACCTAGACCTTCTGAGATAGTTCTCAACTTAAATTCTCTCCCCTTTGTCATTCCTTTGAACCATTATTCGCAGGCTTCCCAAGTTCCTAAAATGTCAGTTTGTGACTTAACATTAAAAGGTCTCTGTTGAAATAATATAAGTTTGTTTGTTTGTTTGTTTTAAGTTCTTCTAGATAGTGAATAGCAGAAAGTCAGTACATAGGATTCTACATGGGCAAATGAAGAACGAGGGTTATGATTTGCTTTCTGGCTTATCCAACATGTTCTCCAATGAAACATATTTATATTGTTTTTGTCAAAAATGACCTAGAAATCTGTCTAAATTATATAAAGGCAATACGGGTTTCACTCTATTGTTTCATCCTTGTTTTAAAGAATGTTGCTAGTTTTAAAATGTTATATAAAAATGGCTGTTTAAGAAATCATATATGCCAGTTCATTTTGATTTACCTTGTGCTATTAAGAAGTGACTCTCAGGAAACCAAAATGACAAAGGAATTGGGCCTATTTAATAATAAGTAAATTTTATAATAAATAAATAATAGATTTTGTTGCATTTTATTAGCTGTGTAAGGACACCAGTTTGGGGATTTTTTTTTTAAACTATGCTATTGTACATTTTGGTAGTCTCTCCCTTTTTGATGTAGAATATAAATGTCTGCTGCAGCAAACTTCAGGGACCAATTAACTCTATTAAATTATACCCATTTATGTAGTGAACTGAACCCCACTTCGGTTGAGGCTGTCTGGGGCTGTGACAGGGGATGGAGAAAGAGACTGACTTTATGTGTCACTGAGGAACACTGCAACAATATGCCAGAGTGACTTTCAAAATGGCCTTAAAATATTCCGAACTCGGAGTTTCCTTGCTCTTGAGTGGGAGTTGACAGACTGTCTGGCGGCATTAGAAAGAGGCAGAGAAAAGCTGATGTCTATATTGTGTCCCTAATAGCATTCTGTTTCTTTGCAGTATGTCCCTGGGAAGGAGCTGTCAATTTGTTGTGAGGAGTGTGTGTGTGTGTGTGTGTGTGTGTGCGTGTGCGCGCGCGCGCGCGCGCGCTCTACTTCTCCCTGGTACAGGGGGCACGATCTTACCTTTCACATCTGGTAAAACCAAGCCGAAGGACAATAACCCTTCCAAGGTCACCTAGAAAATTACTGTCCGGGGTGGGAGGAACAGAAACTGGGGGTCCCGACTGCAGCTTCGTGGCTGGACACTTTATCATTTTCTTGTGAGAAAAAGAATCACTGGGCGGGGATGGGGGGGTGAGGGGAAGTAAGAGATTAATCAGATTTCCTTTCCCCTTACCTCCCTTCCCCCTTACGAAGATAAAACTCAGGAAAGCGAAAGAGGAGCCCTCCCGGCAGTTCTTAAACTGGATTCCC